CAAAGGAGGTTTATGCTGCTTGTGGGCCAGATAGTAGGAATGTCAGATGTTCCATAATTGGTCCATTTATTTGATGATGTCAGTCCACTGGACTGATAAACTCATAACTCCTCCCCTTCTTGTCCTCCCTGTTCTATAGTGTCTCCCCATGAAGCAGAGGTGGTCCGATTCTTATCAGCCACTTGGCTTATCTCATAGCTTATTGACTTTAGCATTTAAGCTAAGTCTTTCAACCCTGCCTTTTCTTCCAATTCAAGTCCAGAGTATGAAAATCCCACCTTGGAATTTTGCAATTTGAAAGAAGTGGACCCAATTTCTACACTGTATGTAACAGATTTAGAGATTACAATCAGGAACCCATGAGGAACCATGTCATTATGTTGTATCAGAACAAAGGACTATCTGTTCCCATATGCTGTCTTTGCGATGGCCAACAAGATGCCTGTGGGAATCCCATGAAAGGACATGAGCAAAACAGCACTCTCTTTATCCATGTTCCTCAGCAACTGATACATGAGTATACTAACTCCAATATGGTCTTCAGGACTAGGGCCCATTGCTAGCTTTCTCCTCCCAAAATGTGTTTAATTCCTTTTTAAAGCCATCTAAATTGCAGGCCATCACTCCATCTTGTGGTAGCAAATTCCACAAGTCTGTTTTAGCTGCACCTAAAATAATTGTGCATGTAGAACATTAGATCCATAATGTGTAATATTACCATCAGGCAATGTTTCATGCAAAGTAAGCAGTTCCATGAGGTTCTGGTCCATTTAAGGAAACTACAAGACAATGAGAGCGTTCTGCATACATGCAAGTATAAATGAGGCCTGCAACAAATTTTTGCCATGTGCCTCACCCTGTAACAAGCTTTCCTTCCAATCAGGGTATTCCACTGCTCTGCCCCACCCCACTCCTGTTTTCTGTGTCTCTTTTCCTCTGGACATCAGCTAAAATCACTTGGTCACTGAACATGCGTGTTCTCCTTGGGCTTTTCTTTGTTGCCTTAATTCTTTCTTTAAAAAATCTTTACTTCTGCAAATATTGGGATTCTCCCGAGCTTACTGAAATGAACACCTCCCTCTTGTTTCTGATTGGCTACAATTCTGTTGGCACTCACTACCTGAGTTTGCTACTACAGGGAGTGAGCATATAAATAAAAGCCATATGCTGAAGGCTCAGGGAAGATCACAATAAATGAAGAAAATGTAAAATAATCCATTAATATTCTGTTGAATTTAAAAATAACAGTGTAGTTAAATAACTGTAAAAACACTGGAAACTTGAGCCATCATCTGACATCGGATCAATCCATTTATCATCATTTAACATTTAATTTAGCTCAAATGAAAAGGTCTGTATTTGCAAAAGATGCTCAGATTTAAAGTTAGGCTTTGAGATCAGGAAACAGACACAGGGACAAGCTGAAACTACAGCGTTGTGCTTATGAGCAAGCTGGTATCTTGCTTTTTATCTCCCCCTTGAATTCATGTCTTAATATTCCAAACATCATGTATACAATATTTAATGATTTAATTTTAACCACTGCCAAAGTATTTGCCGGTCAGGTATAGCAGTAAGAGGGCCAGACTTGCTAGCACAGCTCAGGTGTGAATTGTTACAGACTAGGTAGCCTTGGGCCAGTCATTCTGTTGCTGCCTTACCTACCTCACAGGCTTGTTGTATAGATATACAGGCAAGAAACCAATTATGGAGTATTGAACATCTGGGAGAAAGGAAAGGATATACTTGTGATAGGAAAAAAATATTGCTTAACCTAGGATGCTCATTTTGTAACCTATTCAGGCTCTCTGCCCTAGGTAGAACAGTGGAAGGACCCCACATATTTTTATTTTTATTTTTTTTGGTGGCCTAGTGAGCAATAAAGGGAAACAACAGAAGCTGCAGCTTCTTATTAAAATTAAATTATGACATTATTTACATTTTTTGTATTTCAAAATGTTAATCTTACCTCTCCTTTGTCCAGTCTTTTCATCTCACAACTCTGTTTTTCCATTTCAGCAACTGTTCTAATCACATAATGAAAAGATTGAAAGGGTTTGAGGGGAAAGAAGAGAGAGGAGGAAAGGACAAGTGCTTTCCCATTTGGCAGCTAGCCTGCTCTTCCTCTAAGGCTGCCTCCATTTCCACACCCTCTGAATCAAGTCACAATGAAATTAATCCAGTAAAATGAACCTTTCTCTCAGAAACAAAACTGCAAATGGGAAAGGAGCCCAGACTTCATTGGTTCAGTCCCCTGATGCCGCTTCGGCTTTCGTAACCTTCTGGGTTCAGGTGTTTTGTGTTGCTAGAAGGTAACAACAAGTAGTGACAAGTCATGAGGTGTTTGTATCATTTTTTAAACAAACATTTCCCCGAAGGATCTTTGGGCAACACACAAAGTTATCCCATTTTTGTCCTCAAAACAACCCACTTTGGTGCATTAGGCAGAAAGACTGAGACTAGCCCATGGCTTGTTAGCATGCAGCTGTCTCTATTAAAATCCAATAACAGTATTGAATACTTCAGTTCCCCGAGACCGAATCCTTTCTTGGGGCAAAGGAAGGCTGAGCTCTCTCTCCTCTCCAAACAGACCATAAAGGAGCAGCAAGAAACCAAAGGTCCTCTGCTGTTTTTTTATATAGCACCATCAGTGTAAGTTTTTGATTATTATTTATTGAGTTATTACTGCAATCCGTTTGGCTAAGTAGTGGTCTGAGGAGAGAGACTTGCCTGGTCGCCCAGGCAACCGGCATCCCTTCTCCATGAGACAGAAGCCTGGGCACCAGCTAGGAACAGGCCAGCCGTAGGGGTCAAAATGGCAGAGCCATGGTCAAACTGGAATCTAAGGATAAATCCATCTACTCACTATCATGAGTCATATTACACAGGACTAAAAAAGAATCAAAGTATTATTTCTGTTACAAGTCTGCACCAATAGCCTTAATGATAGTAGCATATGCAGATGAAAAATCAGGCAAGGGAAACCTTTTCATCAAGGGCAGCTCAGGGTATTATGCTGCTCAGGTCAAAGAGCAAGATGATGGCGCTCCTCTTCCATGGGCACTGGTTAACTAGACTGAAGGCAGCAGGAGGGGCAGCAGCGGCTCTGTAGCGCCCAGATCTCTCCTCCATTGTCTTGCTGCCAGCTCCAGCACAGGCTGGCTGAAGTGCCAGCTTCCCTTTGCCTTATGGGCGGGCCAAGCCCGCTGTGACCCATACACAGGTCATCTGCCTCCAACACATTCTCTGTGCTGATGGGGCCGCTGTTTAATGATATCATGAGACTTGATACCAAACTACTTTTCTTATTCAGAAGAACAGGATCTTAAAGGTTTATAAAAGCCTTGGTACTTCACTTGAGTAGCTCTAACCTTAACTTATGCAGACAGATGGCAATACAGACACAATGATAATATTCATTGCCCTTTTGCTTACCGGCCAGAAATTTGTGGCCAGCTTTAGAGAAAGTACAGACTGACTCACATTGTGTCGGATCTATGCAGCTGCAGAACAACCCAGGAGCAAGCAAAGCACCAGGCTGCATCTTCAGACCCACGGTTAGAGGTCTGGACTGGGACTTCAAGACCAAGGAGGGGATCCATACTAGGGAATCTTGGTATCATCACAATGTCGGCTCACTGGTGTGTCATATGATACACAGCCCAAACCAACTGCCTCGTGCTATTCCTCCATTACATAGACCACATTTCTTTAGATCGGTTATAGTATGCCTTTTTCATATGATGCATTTTTCTGCAGTATCTATTTCGGTGTGTGCTAAATGTGTGGTGCTGCTTGACTGAGGAGGAGGAGCCTCTTTGGTGGGCTGGTGGGCTGGGAGGAATGGTGCTGCAATAAGAAATGGCCCGTCGGTCTTCTTAGAAAATGGTATTTGCTCATGCGCACATGCAGAGCTGTGAATGTTTGCATCGGACTAAACTCTCTCATTACTTCAACTGCTGGGTGAGGAAGGCTGCTCATGCCCGTGTGTAGCATGGACAGCCTTGACAAAACAGCAGGAACATTTCTCTTAAATACGATCAGCCTTCCATCGCATTCCTGTCTCCCCCACCATCCCCAGCCACAGGCCGTGCTGATGAGAATCAAAGCCCAACAGCATCTGGAAGGTCACAAAATCCCTGCCTCTGAGGTAGACCATCATGTTCACACTGGACAAGGTACCACATGGACTCCAGGGGGATCCTTTATGCTTGCTATGGATGGTCATCCTGCAGAATAGGAAGCCAAATGCTACATATTTTGGGCTTTGTAGTCTGCTTTATGTGGGGCTGCCTTCAAAAATGGTTCAGAAACTTCAACTGGTCCAGAAAGTTGTGGGCGGACCATTGACTGAGGTCAGGAAACCACGGAGTGATTTGTGGTTGAGGAAAAGGGGCATGGCCAGGGGAAGTGAGCATGGCCACCTGGGGAACCCTGGAAGGCCAGACTGAGGCTACAGTGGGCTGGATTTACCATCTGGAGCTTAGGTGTCCAGCCACTGCTTTGCTACAGTGAATGGCCCATTGTTAGCTTCACTTGCAGCCCTGAAAGGCATCTCCGAAGAGGCTTCCTGACCATGTGTGATGGAAGGACAGGGGCTGCTAGGGCGGTCCCTTCAACCTGAGGACCCTCACACGAATCAGGAGGGTCTCCCAACCCTTTGGGGGGCAAGGATGGCTGTAGGAAGGAGGAGTGGGCAGGAAAGTTTCCTTCATTGGTTAATTTATCTTGAAGTCTGTAGCCTTGATTCTATATTATGAGAAGCTTCTCTGCCAGGACTTTCTAAACTGAAAGGATGAAGTGCCCTCTTCCAGGTTAGCTAGTTGCACGAGAGATTGGCAGCACACAGGAAATGGGTCCTAATGAGTTCAATGGGGCTTACTCCCAGATAAGTGGGAGTAGCACTGCAGCCCAAATGGACTCTTGGTATGCTGTAGCAAGTTTTCCTTCTGTTGATAAAAATAGTAATGTTAGTACTCATAGTAGCCTATTTATTAATTACTACTGTTTGTTTTCATCAGGCCTAAATATCCTATGACAGTCCAAAAGCAGCATCAGCACAAGCATTTGCAACAGACTGGAAAGACAGGAATGGTGTAGGTGATTCCATTTTCAATAAATTATTTGGCTCCTTCAAAGGGAAGAGGGATTTTTCTTTTCTTTGTAAAATGGAGATAACCTCTCCTATCCTTTTCAGTATTTCACAAAGGAGACTGTGTCTTGACAGCTGTGCAGTAAGGAGAATCAACTTATGTACCCCTGGGGAATTCACCTGCTCCTTCATAGGCTGGTGAATAATAAACATGCAAGAGGCTCATAAAAGCCTCTGATCTTTTTTTCGAAACAGCAATTATTTCCTTCCAGCAGCTCGGAGTTGAAATGGCCTGCTCAAAGTTGTGGGTGCTCATAGGATTATTTATGTATGCACTGCAGTGTACGCCCACCCTAGGAGAAGAAACTGAGCCTGGAGAAGAGGAATGTAGGCTGCTTGGGAAATTTGATTTACGGGGTTATGTAAATGCAGAGAATGCAATGCACGTGATTGGAGGGATGTTCCCAATTCACTTTAGGACGATACTTGAAGAAGACCCAACGAGTACCCCACCAATGTCTCCACAATGTGAGGGGTAAGTTACTTTCTCCCTTCTTTAGTGCTTAGAAAAGCAACCGTGGCAGGCATGGGGTCTGGTTTTCCTGGGAAATGATGATACCTGGGCAAGATGGATAACGATTGCCTTGAGATCACAGGCTGGAGACAGGCAATAATGTTTAAGAGAGACCAGAGAGGGAAACAAAAATAGGCAGCAGTGGCCATTAGTGTACAAGATCATTTCTTTTCTCCCTCTAGCATTTCTGTTCGAGCAGTTCTGGAAGGGTTTTGGGGCGAAAGCCTGTATATCAAGACTGGCATCGCTGGTCAGCCCCACTGGTACTTGCCAAAGACCCACAGCAAAGCAGCCCTCCTCCACCAGCTCTGGAGCCCGTCTCTCACTGGGGATGCTGTTCCTTGGCATGCTGGCCTGTTCACCCCCCTGCCTGCTCAGCAACTTCTGCTGGACTTGCCTTCCAGCTGCTCGTACAGATTGGGCCCAGAGAGTGGTGCAGCTAGGGATGGGTCCAGGGGATGAAGTCCAGGGCCCCACAACTCAGCCTCTCCCCCCTGAAAAATGACCGCCCAGAGGGTGAGAGGTGATGGGGCAGCAGCAAACAGGCATTAACACCTGGACCAGGTGTTTCAGGACCGGGATGCATTTCCCAGGGCTTACCAGGGCTGACACGACTTGCCACAGTGTCCTTTTTTCCAAGTTTTTAAAAACATTATATAGCTAGGAAGTGGTTAGCCAGGCATGTACTGAATTACAGATGCTCATTTTATTTATCTTTACAATATTATCCTTGGTGCTTATTCCCAAGTAAATGCGTTTTGCATTAGGGAAGCAGACATAAACTCCATTTTATTCTTCCAGTCATGTTGATTTAAGTGAACTTAAAATGCAGAACTGCACGTGCTCAGCATATCTGTTCTTCATTTTTCCAAATCAGGGTTGACAAACAGCCCCCCCCCACTTTTTTTTCTAACAACTGAAATGTAGAAGGAAGGAATGGCAGTTGAGCAGGAAAGAAATGCTGATAACATGCTTCATGGCTGAAATAAGACACATGGAGGGCTAAAAGCTGTACAGTTAGCTAGCTGCACCATGGATCCCAAGGGGAGAGAGTGAGCAAATAGGAGGTGGCGTCTCACTAAGAGACCCCAAAACAGAACTAAGGGTGTGACGGGTGTCCACCTTGCAGGGCAAGAATCCTCTCCTACCTTCTTCAACTCTTTGGAGGAGGAACCGTTTTCTGGCAGGTCATATCTATTAAAAGGAGATAATGTGCGAAAGGAATGGAGGCGTTGGTTTGGGGTTGTACTTTGCATGGTCCTTAGACCTTATTGGTTCTGCTCTGGGAAAACTTGCCTCCAAGAACCTGGAAGCTCAGAAGCCCTTCCATCATGGCAAGGCGGCTATGATGGCCCATCTTCAGCATTCCTCTGTTGGAAATGCCTCCTACCTAAACAAAGTGACTCTTCTCAGGATATGGCAGCTACGCTTATGAGAGCCCACATTCTCAGTGCTCTCCTATCTTTAAAATGGGGAGGAAAGGAAGCTACAGCTTTCCAGCTGATGGTGGACTACAGTTCCCATCATGCCGGAGTATAGGCCGTGCTCACTGGAGCTGATGGAAGTTGGACCCAATGACGCCAGTAGGGCCACAGGTATTCCCACTCCTGCTTTAAAAAAAATCTTGCAATTGGACAATCAAATCAGCGGGCACTGAAAGTTTTGGTTATGATCTTTGTCCTTGAGATGCCAGTTTTCTAGGTTGCAGGAAGCCTGCTGTCCATTCTGGCACCTCAGCACTGCGGCATCTCATTCTGACCTTGCTCCCTGTGGTGTTTGTATTATTGCAAGGGTGTTGGGGTGTCCAAAGGGTCTCCCAGCTACAGTCTGTGTCATCAAAAGGGCAGAGGCTGAATGTATGTGCCACACACACTGTTTTAGAGGCAATCACTTGTGAAAACTGCTGATATCTCAATAAGCTCTTGTGTGCACAGCATCTTGGCAGGATAAACCAATTAGGGCAAATTCACATGACAGTCAGGTGTCCTACCTTACAGAGGACAGTCCTCTGTTTTGGACAGCCAGCTGAAGACTGCCCTCTATTTGAAGGCATCCCCTATTTCATGGGCCATCCATTGGAAAGGGAGAGCGAGATGGGCCTTGAAACTGCCCATCCACAGGTAGCATCAGCGTGCCAACAGCCACGCTAAGTGATGCTCCTGTTCATGGTTTGGTAGTAGATCATGGCAAGGCAAGTCACCTGAATGGTAGGGTTTGCCCGACTGGGGAAGGAGAATAGGCCACGGTAGACTTTTTCCTGCCCTGAACTGTGGCCTCCGGGGTCATTTGCTACTGCACGTGCCCCCCAACCTCACTGAGCTGGATGATGTAACAAACTGCGGCTGCTAAAGGTCAGAACAGTGTTGAGGCAGCACATGACTGGCGCACGTGGAGGGGCGGCTTATCGTGATCCTTCTTGATCATGCGAACCTAGACAATGACTCACTCCTCACAAATGGAATTTGTTAGTGTAGCATGCAAAGTGAAAGCCATGCCAGGATAGTATAATAATAAAAAGAAAAGGTGCATGCTAAATAAAATCCATGCCTTCATTAGAATGCGCTTTCTGTGGATTTTTTTAAAAATAAAATTACCCAATGCATTTTGAGGCATACCATTTAAATAACACCTCAATATAGTGGAGAAGACTAACTAGGTGACCCATGTGCCTGCTTTTGTCCAGGTACAAGCAGCAGAGGGACAATTTCCTGCTCTCTGCTTCTCATGGTTCTTCACCCCTAAACCTGACTTGGAATCTCCAAATACAGGATATCTTCGATATCTTATGTCCTCCGTAAAACAGGACAATTTACTACTTTAATTTTAGCCTTCTGTAAGGAGATAACAGGCAATAGGGCTCCTTCCAAAGTTAGGCTCTTCTCCAGTGATTCTGTCATTCTCATTAGGTGGCTGAAGTATTTGAGTTTCATCTTCAGCACCTGGCCTTCTAAAGAGCAGTCAGGATTGATCTCCTCTAAGACTGACTGGTTTGATCTCCTTGCAGTCCAAGGGACTTGCAGGAGTCTCCGCCAGCACCACAGTTCAAAGGCCTCAGTTCTTCAGCACTCAGTCTTCCTTATGGTCCAACTTTCACAGCCATACATTGCAACTGGGAAAACCATAGCCTTGACTATATGCACTTTTGTTGGCAGGGTGATGTCTCTGTTTTTAGTATGCTGTCTAGATTTGCCATCGCTTTCCTCCCCAGGAGCAAGCGTCTTTTAATTTCTTGGCTGCGCTCCCCGTCTGTGGTTATCTTGGAGCCCAGGAAAATAAAATCTGTCACTACCTCCATTTCTTCCCCCTCTATTTGCCAGGAAGTGATAGGACTGGATGCCATGATCTTAGTTTCCTCAGTGCTGAGTTTCAAAACAACTTTTGCACTCTCATCTTTCACCTGCATCAAGAGGCTCTTTAGTTCCTCTTCACTTTCTGCCATTAGAGTGGTATCATTTGCATATCTGAGGTTGTTGATATTTCTCCAGGCAATCTTATTTCCAACTTGTGATTCATCTAACCTGGCCTTGCACATGATGTGCTCTGCATATAAGTTAAATAGGCAGGGCGATATTATACAGCCTTGCCGAACTCCTTTCTCAATTTGGAACCAATCAGTGGTCCCATGTCCTGTTCTCACCGTTGCTTCTTGACCCGCATACAGGTTTCTCAAGAGACAAATAAGATGGTCTGGCACTCCCACCTTTTTAAGGACTTGCCATAATTTGTTGTGATCCACACAATCAAAGGCTTTAGCATAGTCAATGAAGCAGCAGTAGATGTTTTTCTGGAACTCCCTAGCTTTCTCCATGATTCAGCGTATGTTGGCAATTTGACCTCTAGTTGCTCTGCCTCTTTGAAACTCTGCCTGTACTTCTGGTAGTTCTCAGTCCACAAATTGCTGGAGTCTAGCTTGTGGGATTTTGAGTATAACTTTGCTAGCATGTAAAATGAGTGCAATAGTGTGGTAATTTGAACATTCTTTGGCATTGCCCTTCTTTAGAATCGGAATGTAAACTGACCTTTTCCAATCCTGTGGCCACTGTGACTGTACATATATAGCTTCTCCATCTTTGGTTGCAGAGCATATAGTCAATCTGATTTCTGTGTTGACCATCTGGTGATGTCCATGTGTAGAGTTGTCTCTTGGGTTGTTGGAAAAGAGTGTTTGCTATGACCAGTGTTTTCTCTTGACAAAATTCTGCCAGCCTTTGCCCTGCTTCATTTTGTATACCAAGGCCAAACTTGCCTGTTATTCCGGTTATCTTTTGGCTTCCTACTTCAGCATCCCAATCCCCCATGATGATAAGGACATCACTTTTTGGTGTTATTCTAGAAGGTGTTGTAGGCCTTCATAGAACCGGTCAACTTCAGCCTCTTCAAGATCAGTGGTTGGGGCACAGACTTGGACTACTGTGATGTTGAATGGTTTGCCTTGGATTCGAACTGAGATCATTCTGTCATTTTGGAGATTGTATCCCAGTACTGCTTTTCCTACTCTTTTATTGACTATGAAGGCTACTCCATTTCTTCTGAGGGATTCTCGCACACAGTAGTATACCTGATGGTCATCTGAATTAAATTCACCGATTCCTGTCCATTTTAGTTCACTGATTCCTAAGATGTTGATTTTCAGTCTTGTCATCTCATGTTTGACCATGTCTAGCTTACCTTGATTCATAGATCTTACATTCCAGGTTCCTATGCTGTATTGTTCTTTACAGCATCACACTTTCCTTTCACCACCAGATACATCCGCAACTGAGTGTTCTTCCGTCTTTGACCCAGTCGCTTCATTCTTTCTGGTGCTACCAGTACTAGCCCTCTGCTCTTCCCCAGTAGCACATTTGACATCTTCCAACCTGAAAGTCTCAACTTCCTGCATCATATCTCTTTCCCTGTTGATACTGTCCATTGGGTTTCCATGGCAAGGATACTGGAGTAAGTTGCCATTTCCTTCTCCA